TTTTTATAAAAGTTATATAGTTTCAAAGCTATGATTATGATATTAATTCATTCGCAAATAATGCATTATCGGTATTTTATGGATGCCATTTTATAAATAAAATCCTATAACTTTTTTTATATAAGATGATTCTTCTACACTTCTTCTGGATATAAAAGTATTCAAATAAAATTATTAAAAAGTTATATCTATAAATCGATCATAATATTTTTTACTTTTTAGTATATTTGGATATGAAAAATAAAATATCTTATAAACTTTTTATTTTTTAAGAATCATACTTTAATATTTCAATGAACAGAATAATGAGAAAAATCGATTGGTAAAAAAAACACATAATTGTTTTTTAAAAAGTTATGCAATTTGAGATATGCAAATACATACTTTTTTTGAAAGACAACTATATATCTTTACATTAATTAGCTCTCATTATTCTGCATAAAAATATTAATATACAATTATCAGAAAATGAATAGTTTTCAAGATATATGTTATTCTGGCATATTTATATATAATATATAATATATATTGCCTGAAATATTATTCATATTTTAATAACTTTATTTTAATATTTTTGTATTATCCAGAATAATTACAGAATTCATATTAAAAAAGTTATGTGATTTCGTTCAGAAAGTGGCATCTATAAATATGTCGACAATAACATTATCTACACATGAATCAATATTATAACCATGAAGGCTCCTTAAAACTTAATGCGCATGGTTTTTTTTCCTTGATTTGGAATATATAAGAAAAATAATGGTAATAATGAGAAGACAAAAAAATAATAAAAAGGATAATTTTCGCATTATTCTTTTTGCAAAAAGTTGTTTGAAGAAATAAGAAAAGTATCTGTATATAATCTTATATACATATATCTAATATAATCTTATATACATATATTATATATTTACAGAGTTTCCATTTTGATGGATATGTTTTAGAAATATGGAATCAGTTTATATTTGCAGGTGCAAATGTACCAATTGTCACTTCTATAATTAAATCTATTGCACAAGAATTGAAAAAACATAATTTAGATATTATATTAGCAATACCACCATTTAGAGGGTGATTTGATATTTCATGAAATATATATATCGAGTATAAATGTAGTCTCTTTATTTATTTGAAATTTCTCTGTTTTAGTGCACAAGTTGAATTGTTTTCAAAACAACAATTTGATGAGCTAGCATTATATGTAAAGGCCTTTTCACTTATGACTTATGATTACTCGAGTATTCAAAGACCTGGTCCAAATAGCCCTCTGAATTGGGTCAAACAATGTATAGAATTATTAGTCCCCCAGAAAAACGATCTTAGGCGATCTCAAATTTTATTAGGTATTAATTTTTACGGTTATAATTATACACCAGAGGGCGGCAAAGCAATTCTTGCTTCTGAATATTTGGATATATTGAAATCATTCAAAGGAAAGATTCATTGGGATGACAACAGCAAAGAGCACTTTTTTGAATCAAAGTATATTTTATTATAATATATATATATTATGTGTTCTCTCTCTCTCT